GGGGCCCGCCGCGCGCGCGGCGCGCGCAGGCGGACGCAGCCCTGCGTAAGCCGGGCGCAACGTCCGCCGCCAGGCTGCCCCGCGGCGCCGCTGTCGACGTGACGCTCACCATAACCTTCGTCTCAGTCGGCCTCTACGGCTTCATGATGCGCCTGCCGCCGGCGCCGCGCGCCCTGGCAGTGCAGCTGCTGCGCGAACCGGACGGCGCGGTGGCGGCCGTGCAGGGCGGCCTGCCGTACGCGGAGCGTCAGGAGGTGACCGTACGGCTTCCAGCGGGGGAGCGGTACTCGCTGGAGGTCCGAGACGATGGTAGGTAATGCCGGCGCTGCGCCGCGGCCGCCGCGACCGCTGCCGCGCGCCCCTAGCAGGAGCTCGGCAGCTGCCTCACGGCGCCAAGCTTGGAGGCGGCCGGCACGGCTCAGATCGGGCCCCAAATGTCTTGCGAGTACGCCCCCAGCGGCTCGAGAGATGCAAATCCCCTCCATCATCCCTGCCGCCTTGGCAGGCGATGATGCGCTGCTGCTTTTCGCGTCGGATGTCGGGGCTATCGACGCAACGCTTGGCAGCTCCCCCTTGGAGCTCACAGCCACCGTGCAGCTGCAGCCATTGGACCTGCAGGCGCGCTTCACGCGGCTGGCATGGAGCGGCGGGCGCGTCATGGCGCCCGGCGAGGCGGCGGAGGCCGAAATTGCAGTCATTGGTGCCAAGGTGTGCGCATCGGCAGCCAGGCTGGTTGGTGGAAGGCTTGTACAGTACTGCTTGCCTAGTTGGGGTCGCGATCGGGTGTGTGGTAATCGCAGAGCTGGATTATATCATGAAGCGTGCTGTCCACAGCCTGTAAGAATGACAGCAGACGGCATCACGTCAGCAGCGTGCTTGGACCCATGCATTCTGCAAGAGCTGCGGCCGCGCGCGCGGCCCCGTGCCCGCAGCTGGCCGTGTGGACGAGATCCAGCGATGGATCCGAAGGCGGCCTGCCCTGGTTCAGCCGCTACACGGACGAGGAGGGCTTCGGGCTGTTCTTTCTTCCCATCAAGTGAGGCCCAGCAGTTCGCTTCGACTGATAGTTTCTTTGTTGCTGCCCAGCCACACGCAAACCCCTTTTGGTTTCACCTGGCTGGGCTCGCCTCTCCCCCTGCCATGACCAATCCCTTTCAATTTCAACTGGCTGGGCTTGCCTCTCCCTCTGCCATGACCAATCGCCTTGATCCCCCCTCCTCCCTCATCCGACCCCGCCGCTGCATCACTTGCGGCGTCGACACACTCCACACCCCCTTCCGTGCGACGGCGGCAGCTCCGACGAGTTCTGGTGCAACTTCACGCTCGGGGACACCCTGCTGGCCAGCCAGCGGCTGCAGGCCCTGGACTGGCAGGGCGCCCTGCCGAGCGCAGAGTCGCTGCAGCCGCCGACGCAGCCCGTCGACGCCGACAGGTGGGGCGCCGCGCGCTTTGCTTCCTCTTGCCCTGCGCTTTGTTCCTTCCAGGGTTCCTCACAATTGGAGCTTAACTTGCATTGAGAACGGAGAGAGTTCAAAGCAGCAAGTTTGGTGAAGCCCAGCGCTGGTGCAGCCACCTGGACAACCATCAGCGCGAGGCGGTGTGTCAACATTGACCAGCAAGCTTCCCTGGGATTGGGGCATCAGCTCAACCTGCACACTGCACGGCGTAACCCGGTCACTCACCCCCAGGAAGCTGCTGTGCACCGGTGACCTGGAGGAGGTCCGAGTGTCACCGCGGCCCGCCGCCGGCGGCTCGACCACAGGCGGCTCCTTCCCGCCCGCCAACTCAGCTGGGGCGTACGCACCCCCGAGTGAGGGGCGGTCGGGCAGGCCGCTTGCACTGCATGGGGCACTGATGCCCACAGATTTGAGTCCCTTCATCAATTTGCGCCGTGGCCTGCTTGAGCTTTGGCCGACCCCCGTCTACTGTTGGAGCCGACAGCACGCGGGGGTGTGCACGATCAACCCTGATCCGTGCAACGGCCTGCTCTATTGTTGAACATCGCAGACTTCTCGTGCCGCTGGGCCATCGTGCCGCCGTCCGCGGGGTCGGTCGTAACCTTGGACATCGATTACAGCTCCCTGCTGGTGGGCGAAGGGGACCAGCTGAGACAGGCGGGGCGCGCACGAGTCGCGATGGCACCTGCACTAATAAGCACTGCTTGTAGAAGCCCGAACGTTTCGGTTGCATGCATCGAGCCTCAGGCATTGTCTCGAGCCCGCCGCCACGTTTATGCCAGCCAGCCCCCTTGCCGTTAGTAGATTGCACTTGCTGATGCTGGAATCTCCCTGCTTGAGCACCCTTGCACCCAGGACACATACACACACACACACACGCACTCAACCACACACACACACTCAACCACACACACACACACACACGAACAATCTTCATGTGTTGCATGCTGACGTGGATCTGTGCAGCCGGGCGAGGCTCTGGTTGTGAGCGTCGATGCGGGCACCACCCTTGTCTTCACGCAAGGCTGCTGCGGCGGCAACCGCCGCTTTGACACCACAGTCGTCGTGAGCACAAGCATACCCATCGAGTTCAGAACCAGCGACCGACTGGAACAAAGGAGTGAGCAGGAAGGGGGGATACACAGTACTTTGAAGTCAGTTGAGCGTCTCGACTGGCTTGCGGGTGCATAAGGGGGCCCCGGCGCGTGCGCGATGCTGTAATATTTGCCATCTGGGTGGTGCGCAAATGGTGAAATGACGTTCTGTGTTGAGCTTTCCACACCCACGCTCACACCACAGCACGCACCAACGCAACCATCCAGCTGACGCGTTATTTGTATTCCCACAAAATGCCAACCGCCAGTCGGCGGTTTCAGGATTGACTGGAATGCGGTGGAGAAGCGTGGATCACAGGCAATCTTTCAGCCCCAGGAGGTGCACATGCATGCTATCTTGGTTTAGGTTTTTGATCTGACTTTCCGGCTGTCTTGCGGTCCCCCACCCACCGCCTGGCTGTCTGCCCCCTCTTCTTGATCTGCCACTGGTGCCTGTTTGTGTTACCTCCTTCCTATTGCAGGGGAATTTGGCAATGTGGGCAGGTTGCCTTGGGTTTGTCGTTGCTGGCATCGTGGATAATTGCGCTGCCGGTAACCTCTCCACGCAATTTGGGGCGCACCTCCCCCCTCCTTCACTGACTTCCCGCACCACATGCCGCACCCGCCCGCTGGCGCCGCACCCTCGCGGACGTCGCGCCAGGTCATGATCATCGTCGTGGCCGTCGCCGCCAGCGCCCTCGTCGCGCTGGCCTTCTGCGC